TCAGCCGTTTTGGTGCATGTGGCTCTCCACAAGACAGAAAGGAAATGGAGACAAAATCTAACATAACTAGATATATAAACTTTGAAGTTCTAGGAGAAGAGAACGAATGGGGAGAAGCAATGCTTTAACAGGCAATGAGGGAAAACTCCCAGAACAGATTTAAGAAGCTGTGAACTGTAAAATAAATGCAATAAAAAAATCCACACCTAGCCACGGCAGCTGTCCATCTAATTGAGGCTAACATGCCTTTGCCCTCTGGCTGCCCATAAACAACCAGTCTTCCAAATGCCCTTAGAACCAGCTTTCCCATGATTGTGGTTCCTTCTTTCGTGGGTTTAATCATCTTTGACCTTTTGTTTATTTCATATTCATATGAGTTATGTTTTTAACTTTTTTTTTTTTTGGAGAGGTTTTTTTGCTATAGGGCGCGTGCGCTCGCCAGACAGACAGAGAGAGACAGAGAGACAGAAAGCGAGAAATCACTCCCCAGGGGGGATGGCCACGCCACAATCCCTTCTCCTCCATTCTCCTCTTGGGATCTTGGGCACGCACACACACACGCCCGGCGTGAGTTTAAGCCACCGGGTCCGGGACACGAACCGCGGTCAACTATGTGGGAGTCCAGCGACATAGCCATTATGCTAACTGCTGGTTCCCCTGTTTTTAACTTTTTGAAAACTATCACTTGAATATACTAAAGGACTTCAAAGAGTTCATGGAAGAATGCAATTAAAAAATAAAAACAGGAGCAGAAGATGGTGGAATGATTACCTCACTGGACTCTCTTATGGTCGGCCACTCTTCCAGCGTCCACTGGGAGTGCACGCGTGGGGAAAATCTCCCGGAGAGAATGGAGGAGAAGGGATTGCAGACGCGGCCATCCCCTCTAGAGGGTGATTTTTGTTTCTCTGTCTCTCTCTGTCTCTCCGGCGTGAGTGCACGCTCCCTATAGCAAAAATATCTCTCTCTAAAAATTAAAAAAAAAAAAAAAATTAGGGACTCACATCTC